AAATCCATAGAGACTACTGATCAGTGGAAGCCGAGGGAGAGGGAAGGGAGGTTTGAGGAAAAAAATGGGCAGTGATTGCTAATGGGTATGGAGTTTCTTTCAATGGTGATGCTCTCCTAATTTTTAAAGAATCATAATGTTTCTCTCATTTCTCATCATGTTTCTCTCATTTCTCATCATGTTTCTGAGATTCCTCTACATTCTTGCAGGAATCAATCACTTCCAGTCTTTTCACCGCTGAGAAGTACTCCACTGTGCAGATGTGCCACGGGTCGTCAATCTGTGTCTTTATTTGATGTGTACTCAGGTTATTTCCAGTTTGGGGCTATAGTGAATAATGCTGTTATCAACACTGGTGTATAAATCTCTGTGTAAACATAGGTTATTAGGGCACCTGGCTGGCTCAGTGGTTGAGCGTCTGTGTTTGGCTCAGGGCATGATCCTGGAGACCTGGGATCGAGTCCTGCGTCAGGCTACCTGCATGGAGCCTGCTTCTCCTTCTGCCTGTGTCTCTGCCTCTCTCTGTGTGTCTCTCATGAATAAATAAATACAAGCTAAAAAAACAAACAAAAAACAAAACAACAAAAACCCACAAGTTATCATTTCTCTTGAGAAAATACATAGGAGTGAGGCCTTCTATGAGGGCAGAGAGGAGAAAGGGCTTGTCTGGGGTCCCCTGCCAGGTAAGGGCTGGGCTCAAAGTCTGAACGCAGGTTTGGCACCACACATGGGTGCAGCCACGCAACAGAGGAGTGGAAGTCAATCCTTTCCAGGGGTCAATGACAACTGCTACAACCTAATGTGGACCTGTCCTATGCCAGGCATGGTTCTAAGTGATCTGCATACATTAACTCATTTATTTCTCAGTCAACCCCAAGGAGAAAGAACTAGTGCTCTTGTCCCCATCATAAAGATGAGAATACTAAGGCCAGGGAGGTTAAATTGGTCGCTATAGGCCACGTAGAGTGATGGAGAGATGAGTCCACCTAGATCGATCTGGCCCCAGAGATGAAACTCTCAGCCACTGTGGCACCTGCCCCTGCATCATCCACTCCTGGGGGTGTTTCCCAGGGAAATCCTTTCATGCTCTGTACAGGGCTGTGCTCGATGATGATGATGGTGGTGGTGGTGGTGATGGATGGTGATGGTCTTGGGATGGCTGGTGGAGTTGGATGCTAGGGGGTCATCCCCCCAAGGTGTGCGTAGAGGGAAAATAGGTGGAGGTAAAATGCCGAATGGAAGTCAGTGATTGGAAGCAGCAGACTAGGTATGTGGTAACACAGGGAGGGAGGGAGGGAGGGAGGAGCAGAAAGGGGAAGGGGAGGAGGAGAAAGAGAAAAACGAATAAAATATATTATCCAGTCTACTCAATGTATCCTTCTCGAGAATACGTCTATCAAATGAATTGAAAATTTGGGTAATTTGTCAAATATATTCTAGGTCTCTCACATGTGTCTGCTGAGCTCAGGGGATGGCAACATGGCACTGGGTCTCCCCTGGGGCTGCTCTCCCCATCTTCCTGTGCCTCCACTGTGGTCCAGACCTTGGGGGGCAACCCAGCCCTCTCCCTGGGGGCAGGAGGGAGCAACCGGAATGTCTGGAGAAGGGTTGGGTGACAGGTGGGGAATGTAGGGTCCAAGCTCTTCTGTCTCTGGGTTCAAACGTGCACACTCGACCCAAGACCCAAGCCTGTGCATGTCTTTCAAATCTCCACCTACCAGAGAATTCCTTACCCGCTCCCCACTAGCCCTGAGTCCCTCTGGGATTGCCCTCCTCTGGACACAGGAGAGATGGAAACAGAGAGTCACAAGCTCAGAGTCAGGCAGAGATGGAGATAGACCGAGGCCTCACCACACCCCTTCCTAATCTTTCCAGGGCTGATGGCGCCCCTTGAGGACCAATTTTCAGCTTGAGAAGAAGGCCCCCACAGGCCCCAGCTGCTACAGGCCTCCAGCCCCAAATTCTGCACAGTCTTGACCTCACAAGGTTCCCCCAGGCAACTCCTCTGACCACCCTGTCTGTTCCCCACGGCTTCTGGTACTTTCTAGGAGTTACAGCCCCTTTGCTGTGAAAACACTCATCACCATACACTGGAACTCTATTTGTACAAATGTCTGAGCTTCACCAGAGCAGAGACCAAGGCTCTATTTCTTCAACTCCAAGGGCACAAGCTGGACTCATGAACCTGACTTAAAGTGCCTCTCCAACACCTTTCATCTGTGTGGCACTGGGCACACTGCTCCCCACACCTCTGGTCTTCCACAATCTCATGGGCAAAGTGAGGGTGACAAATCCTACCCGATTGCCTTTGCCTCGTGGTAAAGTGCTCTTGTTCCCTTGCCTGTTCTGTTGTGAATCTCTAATGTCCGCCAGGGTTTACAACATCGGAGACCTAGAATAATCATGGATCAGCAGCTAATAATGGTGATTCATATTTGCCAGCATGTCTCCCATGCCAGGTCCAGCTCATAGGAAGTCTCAGTGAGTACAGTATTTCATCCACACTGGGCTGTAAGGACACGTGAGAAAATGGACAGCCAGACAAGGGGAAGTCACTGGCTCTGGGTCCGGTCACCGGTCACTGATTTGAGGTCCTTTTCCACCTAAACCCTCTCCCAGGCTCTGTATACCCAGGCTCTCATCTGTGTGTTCTATGCGTTCATTATGGCTTTTTATTTCCCGCATGTGCTTTGATGTCTGAGGGACTGCCCTTCCCAGGGGCAGCCAATTCCCAGAGATGATCAAGGACTCAGTCAGGAGCATGCCTTGCACATGCAAACCAACCAATCCAGAGCCCAGACCCCCTTTATGAGCTCTTAGACTCTGGGCCACTATCCCTTTGCCTAAGCACCCCAGGACCACATTCCAGACATCTAGGGACAACCCCGACACCCCAGAGCCAGCCCACTGTTCCTTACCCTGCCTCCCCTGTTCCTTCCCTGAGAAACCACAATAGTCTCTTGCCCAGAGCTCCACCTTCCCCTTGGGCCTCCTGAGGACCTGGGCACTTCCCTCAAGTGCCTGACACACCCCCTTCTTTGGGGATCTGTAAGAATAACAAACTTTTTTTTTTTTTTAAAGTAGGCTACATGCCCAGTGTGGAGCCCAACAAGGGACTTGAACTCATGACCCTGAGATGGAGACTTGAGCTGAGATCACAAGTCAGGCACTAGACTCATAACCAACTGAGCCACCCAGGCATCCCAACAAAGGATCTTTTCAATCTGATCCTTGGCTTCCCCACACCTGAATAACAATAAAACCTACATTTTGCAAGACTTTGCTGCTAATGGCCTACTCTGGGACCTTCTTCCCAGGACTGCCGTGGGGTTCAAGGTACCTGGGAGTCTATATCCCCCTCTGTCCTCATGACCCATGGCCCAAAACTGATGAGGAGAGGGGGATAGTGGAGTCTCCAAATATGGTCCCCAATGACCATGCCCCCAACGTTCATAAATCAGCATAGTCCCCTCCCATAATCAGCCAGCCTGACTTGAATTAGCCAATGGAATGTGCTGAAGGTGACACTGGGCCATTTCTGTGCTCAGTCTTTATGAGACTGGCAGCTTCTGTTTCCCCCACGAGTAATACTCACTTTGGAGGACCCTGAGCTACCATGTAGGGAGTCCAGGTACCCTGCTGGAGAGACCACGTGGAGAGGGGGAGCCCTGAGGCCACTCAGAGATAAACAGGAGTCCAGATGTCCTACAGCCGAGCTGACTCCAGCCTACTGGCCATTCCTGGCAAGGTGCTAGACATGTCTGAGCCATCTTGGATTTTCCAGCCCAGTTGGACCCTAAAATGGCTACAGCCCTGGTCATATGGTGCCTCAGAATTGCCTTGCTGAGCCAGTCAGCCCATGAAATTGTGAGTGATCACAAACAGTTATTATTTTAAGACTCTAACTTTGGGGGATCCCTGGGTGGCGCAGCGGTTTGGCACCTGCCTTTGGCCCAGGGCGCGATCCTGGAGACCCGGGATCGAATCCCACATCAGGCTCCCGGTGCATGGAGCCTGCTTCTCCCTCTGCCTATGTCTCTGCCTCTCTCTCTCTGTATGTGTGTGACTATCATAAATAAATAAAAATTAAAAAAAAAAAGACTCTAACTTTGGGGATGCCTGGGGGGCTCAGTGGTTGAGTGTCTGCCTTCAGCTCAGGTTGTGATCCCAGGGTCCTGGGATGGAGTCCTGCATAGGGCTCCCCGCAGGGAGCCTACTTCTTCTGCCTATGTCTCTGCCTCTCTCTCTGTGTCTTTCATGAATAAATAAATAAAATCTAAAATAAAAGAAAGAGAAAAATGACTCTAACTTTGGGGGAAGCTTGTTATTCAGCAATAGAAAACCCAAACAGGGATCTCAGTCTGCCTCAAAAGCCTAGCTCCCTTTGCCTCAGGGCAGGAAAGTCTGCAACTTAATTTATCCTCCAGAGCTCCCCACAGAATCTCGGAGAGATTGGGACCTCACCTGAAGTTATACGCTTGCTAGTCTTCCCCTTCACTGTCCGGTTTCCTCTGCTCCTTTTTGGTATCTCCTTGGAGCATTTCTTTTTTTTTTTTAATTTTTTTAATTTATTTATGATAGTCACACAGAGAGAGAGAGAGAGGCAGAGACACAGGCAGAGGGAGAAGCAGGCTCCATGCACCGGGAGCCCGACGTGGGATTCGATCCCGAGTCTCCAGGATCGCGCCGTGGGCCAAAGGCAGGGGCCAAACCGCTGCGCCACCCAGGGATCCCCTTGGAGCATTTCTTTAGAAAATCATGGGCATGTGATTTTTGTCTCGGGCTCTGCTTCCAAGAGAATCTGACCTCAGACATAGCAGCGTTTCTGATATTCTCTCTTCCAACCAGAAGCCAAGGCTCTGGCTCCCTATTCTCCCTCTCCACTCTTCCCTGACCCTCTCCTACATACAAAAAACACAGACCACCTTCCAGACTCCCATCTAGTTGGTGGCATGGGAGAGAAGAAGGTGGGAACAAAGACATCCAAGAGGTCTCCGAAGGAAGCAGTAAGCAGCTTGTTTGCCCTGGCCAGCAGCAAGTGACACCTCCCTGCCCCCAACCACACAGCTACCGAGGGGATCATATGGAGGTCAGGCAGGCAAGAGTCAGGCGGTTGGCATGTCAGCAGCAGTTCAGGGGCCAGGTGGGGAGGAGAGTCATCTCTGATTCTGTGTCGGTGGTGGGAGGGGCTCTGCCGGTTGTCCCAACCTCTCCCTGGGAAGTCTGTCTCTGTGACCTTCCTACCCCCACCAGCTGTCCGTCCCTGGAAACCCCAGAATCCATCACCATGGATCCTCCAGCAGGTCCCACAGCCGCTTGCCACTGGAGTCCGATAAGTCAGCAGAGAAGATGCTGGGGGCTGGGGGGCCACAGCCTAGCAGGGGACCCCCACTCAGAGCCTCCAGCCAGTCCAAGGAGTCTGTGGGGCCCCTGGGAGAGAGGGACGGGGAGTTTGTGGGGGATGGGAGTGAGGAAGAGAAGACAGATGAGAGGCCTTCAGAGTCCGGGGAGGGGGACAGCACGTCGAAGGAGCCGGGGAAGTCCAAGGGAATGGGGGGCAGCGGGTCTGCAGGAAAAGGAATGGAGTGTGAGCTTAGGAAGGCAGAGACCCGCACCTCACTCCGTTATTCCTCGTTTCCAGAAATCTAAGTCCCCAGCCCACTCCTCCCTGCAACCCAAGACTTCAGACCCCAACCCCTTCCTCTCTTGGACTAGAACTCCAGAACCTCAGTCTAGAAGTTCGACTCTTACCCTCAGGCTCCACTTGATCCTCCAGGATGTCATCAATGCCGCGGTTCGGAAGCAACTGCGGACAGGCAGAAGCTGCGTGAGCCAGGATCCCGCCCCATCCTGACCGAGACCCCTTGCCCGCCCCCACGCACCTGCGCCCGGCGGATGGCTTCCTGCAGCTCCTCCTCCAGTGTCAGGGCCGCTGCGGCCGGTGCTGAGGAAGGGGTCGGTGCGGGAGCCGCAGCCGCAGCGGGAGCAGGAGCCGGAGCGGGAGCCGGAGAAGTCGCAGGGGTTTCCGCGGCACGTGCAGGAGGCGGAGCGCAAGAATTTGGGCTCCGCTTGAGCTAGAACCGCACAGAGGAGCTCCCATAAGCCACGCCCACCGGGCGCAACCCCACCCCTTGGCCCCTTCCCGGCCCGCCCTCGGTGCCGCCCTGTATTCTCATTGGCTTCTCTTCCCTTGGATCCTCCCATTTTGCTCTTAACCACGCCCCCCACACCCCATTGGCTAGTCTTCTTTCGACTTCCCGCCCCGTCCCGCTTTGTCTTCTCCTCACTGGTCCACACGCGCGTAGCCCCGCCCTCACCGAGCCCTGCCGCCGGACGGCTCCCAGAGCCTTGGGCCTGAGGCGCGGCCAGGGAGCACCCGCGGGACCGTCCTCGCGCCGCGGCTTCGGCCGCTCGCGGGGCAGGGCGCCGCCGCGCATGCGCTCCAGGAGCATCGACTTAGTCCCAGACACCGGGAGGCCCTGCAGGCGCAGCTGCTGCCGGAGCTCTGAGACCTGGGCGGGTTGGGGGGAGAGGCCTTGCTGGGAGGGCTCCGGGCCGCAGGCAGGAGCTGGGGATAGACATTTGGAAGCCGCGAGGGGAGGCACTGGGGAGCCGGGCTCCTGGGTCCCTGATGGGGCAGAGGCTGCGGGGTTAGACTCATGGGTACCCACCGAGGGGAGGGCCAGCCTGGGACGTTACCCCCCATGCTCGCTCACCGTCAGCTCCTCCAGTTTAAGGGTCTGAAGTTCCAGCTTGTGTGGAGGGGGTGAGGGGCGGGGGACTCCAGGTGGGGAGGGAGTGAGGGCAGTGGGCTTCATCCTGGCGGTAGTCGTGGGGGAGGGGAACCACGGTTAGAGGGGGAGGAGAGAGGCGGGGCGTCCCCAGGTTCTCAAACGCGGCAGGGGCTTGTGAAAAGGGAGGAGAGGGTCCAGACCCCTGGGTCTCCGAAGAGGCTAATTCCTGTGCACAGGACAGGAGGAACCAGAGGCTGTCTTCTAGGGGAGGAACGGGTTGGGGGCTGGAGTCCCCCTGCTCTTGGACTCGGTTTGAGGGAGGAGGGTGCACCGGGGTCTGAATTTCCCCCCAGGGAACAAAAACAGGGATCATACCTGGGAGGTGGCTGCTGTGAGTTTGTCCCTTCCCACAGAGGTGGTCCAGGGGGACCCAGGGCCAACTCTTTGGCCGGGGGGTCTACCCTGGACCCTTGTCTCCGCCCTGGGGGTATGTACTGGTGATATGTCAAGTTCCCCTTTGGCTTGGGCTTTCTCCAGTGTTGGGAGATCTTGGGAGACTCCTGAAAAAGCAGGTGTGATGTCATATGGAGCTTCAGCTCTGTCCCCACTCTCCTGCCCCAGAGCCTCATGCAAAGTATGGTGTCACCTTGCCACCATCATTAAAAGGAGCAGAAAGGGCAGCAGCAAGGACGACCAATGCTAGACTCTGGGGTACTTCTCACTCGATGGAGACTCACCTTCAGGGACCTCCAAGTGCCGTATTCTGATTCAGGGAGCAGGTCCCCAGGGCTGAGGAGGAAAGGGGTGAGGCCCGAGGGCGAGACTGGGGCCGGGGCTCTGGGGGCCAGAGCGGGGCCTGTGGTTGAGACCCACGGGTCTGGATCCAAGACTGGAGAGGTGGTGAAGGACCCTGAGAGGCCTGTAGACAGCAAGCCAGACAGACAGGAGCAAGGCTGTGTGGGAAGGAGGGCCCTGGAGGCCTCAGCCCATCACTGCCCCCCCCCATGTGGGAGGGCAGGCCCAGGGAGGGAAACCCCAGTGGTAGCAGCTGAGTGCCCAGGTTCCTGGATCTCAGGGCAAAGGTTCCAGCCTTTTCTATTCTAAAGAAAGGCAGGAATTGGGGCATCTGGGTGGCTCAGTGGTTGAGCATTTGCCTTTCGCTCAGGTCGTGATCCTGGGGGTCCTGGGATCAAGTCCCCAATCAGGCTCCCCACAGGGAGCCTGCTTCTCCCTCTGCCTATGACCCTGCCTCTGTGTGTGTGTGTCTCTCATGAATAAATAAATAAAATCTTAAAAAAGGAAAAAAAAGGTCAGGGATTGTCCTTAGTCACCTAGGGGTGTGGTAGCTAAGGATCACAGATTTGGGGTGAGGGGAGTTTTGCTGGGACAGGGGTGGGGCCAGCACTCCTGGTTCTTGAGGAGAGAGAGAAGCTGAAAGCCACATCCTGAGATTCTTTATGTGTGCCAAGTGTGGAGTCTGGGATGCCTGTCTTCTCCAAAGAAACAGGATCTGGATTCATGCATTTTATTGGAGTGAGAGAAGTCACAGAGCAGCAAGCAGAGCTTTTAGGGGTGGGGTGGCCAGGGACCCATACTCTTGGGTTCTCGGGAAAGGACAGGCTAGGGTTTCAGTGTATCCCTGGCATAGGGACTGAGGCTCAGGAACCAGTGTGGGATATCTTGTAGCTGCCCTCCCGGGTACCCCAGGGGTATCAGGCCTCCATCCCCCTCCCTGTCAGGGCCCCACACTTACTTGGGTCCTGATACCGCCTGTGGATCCGAAGCTGGAGCACTATGGAGGAAGGAGGGAGGTGGGAGGAGAAAGGCGGGAAGGGAGTGTCCAGGAGCCTGGCCTGGCGGGCGGTGTGAGCTGCAGTTGTTGGCAGGACACGCGTGCCCAGCCCCCTTACACACCCCATGCAGGCGGGTGGGCCAGCAGCCTGTTCCCTTTCCCGGGCCTCCCGCCTGCTCCTTGCTCCATGCCAGAGCTGTTCTGGGACTAAGAGCCAGCCAGTGTGCAGGCAGGAGGCTAGCCCTGCCCCCCAGCTCCACCTGCCCCCTTCCCCAGCGTGTGCCCACCCCACCCAAGGCACGATCCTCATCTTGGCAGCCGCACCCATTTGTACTTCACCTCTTCTTGTCCATGTGCTCCAGTGCCCACGAGTCTGCTTCCTTCTGTGTGCCCCTGGGCCTCCCTGCACTCACCCTCTCTGCACACACACTTCCTTGGGCTCTCCTTCTGGCACCTATGGCACTTTTATGCACTTGTACCCTTTGACACACTTCATCCTTGGCTCGCTCTGCCTTGGCACCCACTCAGCCACCTTGACACTAATTTGCACATTCAGGATTTGGCTTCCAGTTCTGGAGTGGGGTTCTGTCTTTGCACATTTCGCATGCATTCTCTGGCACACTTTGCTCACTGGTGTCTTTGCACCGACCCAGCCACGTGAGCATCCTTGTTTGCACACTCATATGCCCTTCAGGGACTGACATCCAGTGCCACTCACTTGCACGCTCTCAGTCCACCTTAGGACCTAAAATACAACCTTTGACACATCCAAGGTTTGGTAGCTCACTGGCCCCTCACCAGCACTCCCACATTGCTCACAACAAAATCCCCACTCTGCGAACTCCTCCATTTTGCACACAGATCAATTTAGGCCCCTGTTCCTTGGCAGTACCTAATTCTCCACCTTAGCCACCCACTCCTCTCTGTTTACAGGAACATTGCATTATTGGCCATTTGCACACTCCCAGAGTCACCAAAATGGAACCCATTTGTTGGGGCCTCTTTTATACACAAGTGACCTTTTGCACAGAAAACACCTGCCTTGTGGGGCCCATGACCCCCTCCCTCTGCCTCACCCACCATACACACTGCCAGAGTTAAGAGCATTTGATCCCAGGACCCCAGAAGACCCCTTCCCTACATGCAGAGAGAAGCCTCTCACCAGATCTGAACTTGGAGCGAATGATTTGGGAGCGCTGAGAGGAAGTTGCGAGAGTCATTGCCAAGGCTGGGATGGAGACCTGGACTGAAGGGAGGACAGGGCCCCCACCGGAGGCAGGGTCAGAGTGGAGGTCAGGAGGCTGTCCCTGCGTGTGAAGGCAGCAGGGAAAGGGCCTCAGAGGCTTAGGAATAGGAGAGGCCTTGAGCCATAACTTCTGGATCCTGAAGAAGGAAGGGCTGGGAGAGGGGACTCCTGACTTTGAGGGCCCCAATTCCTGGAGCCTGGAGGAGGAAAGACTGGGATCTATGAAAGGAGACCCCTGGGCCTGTGAAAGGAGAGGAAGGAAAAGGGGCTGAAGGGACAGAGCTCAACACTCCGAAGGGGCTAGAATCCAACACCCTTGATCAAGAGGGGAGAGCTACCTGGTAGGTTCCTGGGGGAATGGAAGGGTCTCTGCCACCTGCATTTGAGAAGGGAGTGGGTGGGTGGGTGTCAGCCACCCTGGTCTGTGAGGAAGGGACTGCGACCAGAGAGGTGCAGAGGAGTTAAGGTGGGCTCCCCCCACCCCTCATCCCAGGGGCTTCTCACCAGGTGGGCTCAGCGCAGCGGTGCTCCGGAGCGGGTTGAGTCCCTGGTCTGGGCTGGAGGCCTCAGGCTCCGCCCCACCAGCTGGGAGCGCCTAGGACGCCCCTTTCGAGGGCGTGCCTGGGGCCTGAGGACGAGGCGCGGGGTTGGGGGGCGGACAGGAGCCCCGCCTGGGACCCTGAGAAGGGGCAGGAGCACAAGCTGGGAGGGACTGGGGCGGGGCGAACGTCGGGGTTCCCTAGGTCGCTCCGCCTCCGCGTCCTGGGGCCTCGGGGTCGGGCGGGGCAGCCACCCGCGGACTGACAGAAGCAGGTGCCTGGAGAGGGGCTCCGAGTGAGCAGCGGGAGCAGGTGGTCGCGACCCGGCCCTGCGGGCAGGTGCCACCTGTCGCTTATTTTTTCCCTGACGCAGCAGCAGGAGTCAGATTTAGGGGAGTGGAAAGTTCAAACTGGAGCCCCGGACTCCTGAGTCTGAGGGAGGCGGGGACTTGGGGACCCGGACTCCCGGGTCTGAGGGAGGAGTGGGTTGGGGGCCCGGACTTCCTGATGTGGAAAACGAGGGTTGCCAGAACAAGGACAAGAGGTGTTGGGATTCCGCAGGGTGCCCGACAGGCAGAAATGTGCAGATGGGTTCTGGGAACCCAGACTCCTGGGTCTGAGGGAGAGAAGTCTGGTCCCCACTGGCAGGACTGAGGGCCTGATATTTGGCAGAGCGAGCTTAGAGCTCTGTCCTGAAATGCGTGGGAGGCCCCAGGGCTCCGGGTTTGGATTACAAGCCGCAGGGCAAGCTGAGGCCGAAGCTATAAATACCTCCTCGGACTGGGCAAGAACCCAACGCTCTAGTCGAGGACCATGGTGCTGTAATCCGCAGAAAGTCATCATCACCAGCGTTCCCGAGTCTTAACAAGTGAGGCGTTGCCAATACGACAGATACCTTTATTGCTCCTTGCGCTCACTTCCCAAGCCCATTTTCCCACTGTCCCATCCTCTACTGCCCGAAAACTCAAACTCCCGGCATCCCACGCGAGGAAAGAACTACAACTCCCAGAGAGCTCGGAGCTCAGGCGGGCTCCAGGGAGCGGAAGCCGAAGAATTTTCAAGGTTCGCGCGCTTGTTCGTTATTGGTTTTCAAGGAGGCGTGGCCGCGGGAGGCCCGTGGCGGTGATTGGCCGGCAGTTCCTGCTGCTCAAGATCCCAGAGAAGACGGCGGAGCCTGCGCAGTTCACGGTGCAGGGCGTCGTCCGTCACAGGACCCGTGAGGCGCAGGCGCGAGCTGCCCAAGGGCAGGATGAGGGGAGGATGGGAAGAGAAGCTTTCGAAGATGTCCCCTAGGAAATCGAAGAAAGATAGAGTCAAATTCTGAAAATGGGTGATGGGTAGCAGTGTTGGGGGGGGAGAAGCTGCGTCATGCCCGAGGGAAAAACTTCAACTCCCAGCAATTCCTGGAGCAGGATCCACTCAAACACGACTCTTGGGAGTCCCCAGGCATCATGGGAGTTGTAGTTCACACAAAGAAAGGCCACCGTTGCCCGGGAAACGGGCGAGGTGTTGGGTTCTTGGGTCTGAGAAAGGAAGGTCTGGGAGCTTAGTTTTACGGACTCTTTAGAGTGGAGGAGTCCGGAACCCGAATTACTGGGCGAGGAGGGCAGCTTGTCGGGGAAGAGGCTGAGGGCCCGAACTTTGGGGAAAAAAGGAGAGATGGAGCTTGAACTCTTGTACCCTGGGAGAGGGGTAGTTAGGGTCCATCACTTAGATCTTGAAGGAGGAGAGAGTTAAAGGTATATAATCCTGGGTCAGAAAGAGGAAGGGGTTGGGGCTATAAATTCCTGGGTCCTGAGGACAAAAAAAAAAAAAAAAAAGAAGCTGACAGCCCCAGTGCCTCTGTCCCCATCTCTCCTCACCTGTGTCCACAGCATCTCGCTCTGCAGGGGGAGGATCCCAGGCAGGTGGTGGCCCACGACCAGGACCCAGCTGGTAGTGGCTGAGCAGATGGTGGAGCTGAGCAGGGGTCAGTGTGGGGTGGTCAGTTCGTAGGCTGCTCCATGAAGCCTGGTGGGAAGATCATGTGAGAAATCTGGGGTCATTATGGGGCAGCTGAGAAATCCTAAATGGAAGGCCCTCCATAAAGGGCATGGATGTAATGGGTAGATGGTTGTGTCTGTGCGATGTCTTCCGGACATTGTGAGGCCAGGCTGTCACCAAAGTGATGGTGGGAAAAGGCATGCTCTCAGCTTTTTTTTTTTTTCATGCTCTCAGCTTTAAAAAAAAAAAAAAGTTATTTGCTTCAGCATAAATGAAGATCTAGGAGTTGGGTGTGGGGTGAAGAAGAAACAAAATGGGCCATTAGTTTGTATTATTATTATTTTTAAAGATTTTACTTAGAGACCCACACAGAAAGGCAGAGACACAGGCAGAGGAAGAAGCAGGCTCCCCGTGGGGAGCCCGATGTGAGACTCAATCCCAGGACCCCTGAATCACGACCTGAGCCAAAGGCAGATGCTCAACCACAGAGCCATCCAGGTGCCCCCATTAGTTTGTATGATTGAAGCTGATGTTGTGTACCTAGAGGTTCATTATATATTGTGGCTATTTTTTTGTTTCTGAACAATTCTACACCTAACTGAGATGACATTCGAATCATCAGTGGGTTGAAAACCAGAGACTCTGGACTCAGATTGCCTGGGCTCAAAAATCCCAGCTTCACTACTCATTACCTTCTAGCAAGCCACTGTACCTCAGTCTCTTCATCTGTCAACTGGGTGTGGGCAGGACTAGGAACTATGTAATGGCATAGTTTTGAGGAGGATTCAATATGGCAAGATCATTAAGTAGTTAGGACACTGCCTAGTGCTTATTAAATGTTCTGTTAAAGTTTGATAAATATAAATAAATGAAATTGAGTAACTTATCCTACCTGATTTTCAGCCTCCTTGTCTGAAAAGAATTTTCAGTTAATAACCTATTTCATGAGGCTTAGTCAACATTCAATGAGAAGTGCTAAACAGGGGCGCCTGGATGGCTTAGTCCATTAAGCATCTGCCTTCAGCTCAAGTCATGATCTCAGGGTCCTGGGAATGAGCCCTGCATGAGACTTCCCTGCTCAGTGGGGAGTCTGCTTTTCCCTCTCCCTCTGCTGCTCCCCCTGTTTGTTCGCTCTCTCTCTTTTCCCCTCATAAATAAAATCTTAAAAATAAAAAAAAAGTACTAAACTACTAAACAGCGTCTGGCATGTAGTTTATGTGCAACGAACGTTTTAACTATCACATTCCCTGGTCTCATAGCAAACTTTCTGAATCAGCACGTCTGAGGGAGGGGGCCTTGGAAACTATTATTAGCAAGTAGCCCAGGATTCAGATGCAGTTTGGACACTTGGGGCTGGCTTCCTCTAACCGTCAATGCCGCACCCAGTGTCAGAGCCAGGGCAGGGGATAACATGAAGTCCAAGGTGAGGTCCAAGGGTAAGCTGAATAGAGGATGTCAGAGGTCAGGGATCAGGAGTCACCTTGAGCAGAGAAGTGCGGGGCACACAGAGCAGGTTCACAGCTATGGAGAGTTTCCGGAAGAATTCAGTGGCAATGTCACCCAGCCCGGCCCCCTGCAGCCAGTCCAAGACAAGGTCCAAGTTGGTTCGGATTTGGACAGCTCGGGACCATTGATAGAAAGGCCGGCCTTGACCTGTAGGGAAGGGCATGAGGGGCAATTGGTTTGCAGACTCTGCCCTCCTTCCTCCCAAACCCTTCCCATCCTTCAGCTTGGGATCTGGAGCTTGCTCGCCAGAGTCCCTAAACATGAGGACTGATCCTGTGGGCGTGGTGTCTGAATTGATACCGGTCTTAGAGGTTGCCCGTCCTTTCCTCCCTGCCCCTTCCCCAGTCTGACCCTCACCTCGTTCCATCAGTGAGTTGAGAAGGGATGCATTGGAGAAGAAGAACAAGTAACCGAAAGTCTGAGACACGAGGTCCGGGTGCAGCTCACACTGGCTGGTCAGTTCCAGGGCTGCCTGGAACACGCCCAGGGTTGGTCTCAACCCTGGAGGCATGGCCCCCAGCTCTGCGCCAGGCCCTGGCAGCTCTGCCCCAGCTGTAAAAGGGTTACTATCCAGGAGAGCAGGCAGTGTTGAATACAGAGTCTAAGAAGACACAGAGATGCAAACAGGTGATTGGACTACAACCTCCCGGAAGTTCAGGGTGATAGAACTTCTGGAAATTACAGTCCTTTCTACGCATGACACTCTACAGGTCTCTATGAGGAAATCCCTACTTTCCAGGTGGGTTTCTAGCATTCATCAGGGCCAGAACACCTCAGGTCTTAAGAAAGCCTCCAGGAGTTTCTTGGGTATTTTAATGACTACCTCTGGTGCTTTACAGGGCTCAGAGTTCTCAACAGAGACAGCTCATGACGACAAAAGGATACTGAACAAAGAGGCCCCCTTCAGTCAAAGAATTATTTATCCAGAGGTCCCGAAGGAAAGAAAAAGAATGAAGAGTCAGGAAGTGGGAGTGGCATGGCGGTAAGCCAGTGGAAAGTGAAGGACAGGAAATGAGGTCAGAGCCGAAGAAGAAATAAAGCCACACTTGGCAGGGATAGACAGGAAGTGAAGCCTTGGAGGAACTGGGTTCCCAAATCAAGGCGGCTTATGGAACAGAAAGACTGTACCCAAAGATTCCTTTTCCTTTCACCGATATGGACTCAGGTCCACTGGAAGCCTGAAACCCTACAAATTCCAAGAAGCCGTCTTAAGGTCAAGGGTAGTGGAAGGACAGATAGCAGGTCCTGCAGGACTAGACTCCAGGGAAAAGATCTGTGACTCAGAAAAGGGAGTGAATTCAGAGCTGTAGGATGTGAAATCAGCAAACACAGGAAGGGAAGCTGGATTCAAGAGGACCTTTAGTTTTTTTTTTTTAATTTTTTAATTTTTATTTATTTATGATAGTCACACACAGAGAGAGAAAGAGGCAGAGACATAGGCAGAGGGAGAAGCAGGCTTCATGCACCGGGAGCCCGACGTGGGATTCGATCCTGGGTCTCCAGGATCGCGCCCTGGGCCAAAGGAAGGCGCTAAACCGCTGCGCCACCCAGGGTTCCCAGGACCTTTAGTTTAAACGACAGTGTCCGGCACTGTTTGATCCCCCATCTATCTATCTAACCACCTAAGAAATTTGCCAGTGGACTTAGAAAACAGGAGCTTAAAAAAAATGATAGAGGTGATATAACCAGATGGTAAAGTTAGCTGGCCAAGAGGGGACAGTTGGAGAGACAGGAAGAAAAGCTGGGAAGGCAGGAAGTAATGCAGGCTCAAACAGGAAGTGGTTCCAACACAGCAAAGTGCTGCAGTGACTGGGAAGTGATGTCAGAGAAGCAGGGAATCTCACAAGGTCAAATAGGAAGTGACATCAGAATGATGTAATTCAAACTGGAAGTCAGGAGGTTATGTGTCAACAGGAAGCAGGGACAAGACCAACCTTGGTGAGGTAGTAGACAGACTGCTGAAAGGTACACATGATGACCTCATCCAGGAGGGCCATGGCCTCATCACATAATTCCAAGTCATTGCAGAGCTGTGGGTCTGAGGACAGACCTGGGGGTGAGAGAGAGACCAGAGGCTGACAGGCAGGAGCCCAAGTCCCCAAGTAGAGGGAATGACAGGGGGCTTGGGAAGCCTAGGCTTGGGTCAGAGCTCACCCTCCTGGTCAGCCTCCTTCTCCATCTCCAGCACTTTCTCCTGCACAAAGCTCAGCAGTTCCGTGGTGTTGGCCATCCACAGCATGAGTGGCCGCAGCTCTACCGACACAGCCTCCGGAGTCAAGGGCACCTCG